TGTTGGCTGTTGTTGCCATCAATGCTGGCTGTTGATGTAGCCATTGATGGTTGTTGGCCGTGTAGTTGTGGCCATTGATGGTTACGGCATTGCCTATAAAGGCGGATGTTATGATGATTTTGTTTGTAGGATTGTAGGTTTTGGATTTGGGTACCCTCACACTCCTGTGCACTTGCTGTGATCAAATAGCAAGGGCATAGACTTGTAATGGTATCTGTTATTGCCTGGAGGCTGTTGTTGCCTCAGGTTTGCCTGTTTCATAAGGGGGAAGTGCTGTGGATTAGTTGCACAATACACATTCCATAAAAGGTAGTAGGAGGTGCTGTGGCTGGGATGCCACAATACACACTCCATGAAAGGTAGTAGGAGGTGCTGTGGCTGGGATGCCACAATACACACTCCATGAAAGGTAGTAGGAGGTGCTGTGGCTGGGATGTCACAATACACACTCCAAAGAAAATTATTCAATGCTGGTGGATGCACTCCTGTGCTTCCTATAGCTCTGCATTGTTCTGGGAGCTGCTGTGCCGGTTGTTGGCTCCTGTACCGGTAGCTCATGGTCTGCCAGTTGGCTAGCTAGCTTGCTAGCTGTTGCCTCCACGACATGCACTCCCGAGATCCTCCGGTGCCTGTACCGGTACTGTCGTATCGGTGCATGGCTTCCAGTGCTTGGATTCAGTGAGAATCCTCTTGTTGCTGACGTTCGGAGAGATCTCGAGCACACTCCTGGAAAGATACGTTCACTGGCTTTCTTTGCAGGTCGCTGAACGCTTGGCTTGTTGTTCTTCGCCGTTCCATGTGGAAAGGCTTCACAAATCACAAATTTCGTGTCGGCACTTCTTCTCTTGTTGCTGACACTCTTCTTGCCAACACTGTAGCAGCTATCGGTACTGTCAGCCGATGGCTGTCCTCTTGTTGACAGTAGTGGTGGGCTAGTAGTAGCCGTCGCTGTTGTAGCGGTAGCCGTCGTTCAATCGCTGTTGAAGGCTTCACAAAAAGCAAAGTCTTCTTCTTCTGCCGACAGTGGTTGCCGACACTGTTGTCTGATTTTTCAGACACAATGGTGCTGTTGACGCTTGCGGTAGCGACTGACTAGTAGTAGTCGCGGCCGTTCTTCTTGTTCTTGTTGACAGTAGTAGCGGCCGATCGTTCAATCGCTTCGGTCGTCTTGTTTATTCGAACTTGCAAAATTCGCTTGCAAATTCGCTCTTCTTGTCGACGATGGATGCAACTCGTTCACCAGTTGTCTGTTCGCCTTTGGATGCAACTTGGTTCCTGTTGCATTCGAGGACTTCCACTCTTCAGGGCCTGTTGCACTACTTTTCAGAGCACAACTTGTTGTATGACAGTCCTGTTGTAGGACCTGTCGTTGCCGTGTAATCGTCCTGGCAATTTGTCTTGTTTGTGCGACGGGAAAATCTTCGCACCTCTCTTCTAGTAGCCTATTTCGATGGCTCTCTTGTTGAGGATAGGAACTCTCCCACGAAAGTACCTCTTTGGTATTCCTGTTGGAATTTGTTATCTCGTTCCTCTTCTGTGGTAACTCTGGTTGGCTAACACGGTTCGTCTCCGTAGTAGCCTTGCTGCGCTTGTTGGGCTCGTTGTGGTAGCTAGCTAGCTAGCTTGGCTCCCACTCCTGTGAGTCTTCTTCGTTTAGTAGTTGTTTTCCGTATCAGTACTGGGATAGTGTATCTCCAGTCATACGATGGCTGTGTTGCGCAGCTCAAAGTCTTTATGTTTCTTGCTCCCACTCCTGTGAGCTTGCTTTGGATCCTTGCTCCGTTCGCTCACTCCTGTGAGCTTGTTCTTCTTGCTTGCTCCTGCGAGCTTGTCGTTCCGGAGCTACGTTTCCTCGCTCCGGAGCTCACTCTTGGAAGTTTGGCTCCTCCGTGATTGCTATTAGCAAATCTTCGATCAGTCCTAACTCGCTCAGTTCCTGTTGGATTCACTTCGTTCAAGCATAAGAGTGGTGTAGTTAGTGATGATCTTCAAGGCGGTATGCTTTGTACTGGATGCTTCCGTGTAGGAAGTTGATCTTTTGATCCTCCGGTGTAGTCAGTGTGGAGGGAATTCAATCGCGTTCGTGCGCTCGTTGACTTTCCCTGCAAGGCTGTTGGGATAGCTCTGCCTCTCAGTGAGGCTAGAGCCCTAATCAGCCTGTACCGTTTGTTGCACTGGTTACCTTAGCTTGATATCATGTAATAGGATGTCGATATCCCATGGTCGAGATCTCGAATTCGAGAGTCTTCTTGGAAATAGTGTTGGTTGCTAGTAACACTCTAGCTTAGTAAAGGTAAAATACTGTTTTACTGTTAAGCTATTTCCAAGAAGTGATCTTTCTCCATGTTTTCTGAGATTGATTCAACTTCAAAGGATATAGTGAAGGGGGTGACCATATAGATCAGTTAAACTCCCCATGTATGTAACTAGAGAATTGATATAGATATCCCCTCTAAACTAGATTGGGATAAACGAATAATTTGTATTGAGGTGTCTGTAATACAACCTCCAACAGGCGCTGTTAGCATCTGCTGGAACAGTGCGAAGTTTGTAGGTGGTAGCGCGAGAATCGTCGATTTCGCATTCATCGTCGAGGTTGATGAGAGGAAGGATTGGTTTGTCGCGCAGCTTAGACTCGAAGCTGGTGTACGCGTCTTTGGCAATCTTCATGGTGAGGAATATGTTGAGGGTAGCTGAAAGCTATTGTGTTTGTTAACAAAATGCACTACGCTAAAAGCTAGTGTAAAGATCTTTCGAGTGTTTTGAGTTTGAGAGAATGAAAGTTATGAGAGGATTAGAAAGCTATGAAAACTAATCAACGAGAGAGATCCACAATCAAAGGATCGTAGATCTGAACTCCCGCGGGAGACTGTAACGTGTGATAGAGTAGGTTGCGGTAGCAATCCTACTCACTCCACGATCCAAAACGGAACGCGTGGAAGATTCGTCTAGCATTTATCTAGTAGCGTGGAATACTCCACGCTGGCTAAATATCTAGCGATGTTTCATCATCATATAGTATGACTAGAGCGGTCATGAGAACCCTCTCAATAACTATTCACGAGAGACTCAGTCATGAGTCGAACTCAAACCCTATCTAGGATCGAGTCGCGAATAAGGCTAAGAGCCGTGTATTGCATTGGCTAAGAGCCGTGTATTGCAATGGGCCTACGAGCCACTCACAACCATCAATTATCCGATTATCGATTCGGGTGAAAACGTTCGAGTGGACTTGTCTAAACCTCATACGACAGCCGGGCTCATCATCTTTACCATTTATTGGCGGGAATTGCTGGTGAACATCTTACCCACTAGTTCGGTGGGAGTTGTAGTGGTCATTGAATCCACTTGCGGTGATCTCTTCACGTACCAACTCGATGGTGCAGTGCCAACATATCTTGGGCCACACGATTTACACGACACTGCCTACGATTTCCTCGAACAAAAGGCTCAACTCATTGATATCATGGAAACGGCCAAAAAGGATGGCGGCACGTCCTACACGGGCTTGCCTCTGAATGAGGAATTCTGCGTGCAGTCCGTACGAATCTACCCGTCCAGACTAAAGGACGAAGAGCAATACGTATCCAATGATCCCATGATCTTTGCAGTCTCGACGGCCATGATTTTTGTATTCACTTCGCTTGTCTTTACCACATACGACCTTTTGGTGGCCAGGAGGCAACGTTTAGTGAACAATATGGCAGTAGCGTCGACTTCCATTGTTTCGAGTCTCTTTCCAGAGGAAGTGGCGCAAAAGCTGTACAAGGAACGCCAGCAGCAAGAGCAGCAAGAAATCAATCTCCGAAGCTTCCTAGTCACGTCCAAACCAAATCAACCCGTTGCAAGCTCCAAACCTATTGCTGATCTGTACGAGGCCACAACAGTTCTGTTTGCAGACTTAGCTGGTTCACCAAATGGAGCTTGACTCGCACTCCTGCTGATGTCTTTCAAATGCTAGAGACACTGTATGGCGCCTTTGATGAAATTGCCAAGCGACGTCGAGTGTAATTTTTAAGAATGCAAGAAGGCATGTGCATCGAATCCGAGTTTACTCAACCCCCTTCATCTGATGATGGTTGTTCGTAGGTTCAAGGTGGAAACGGTATGCTTGATTCGTCATATTCTGGCTCGTCGTGGTTTGGTCGTGGTTTGGTCGTGGTTTGGTCGTGGTTTGGTCGTGGTTTGTTTGTTTGTTTGTTTGTTTGTTTGTTTGTTTGTTTGTTTGTTTGTTTGTTTGTTTGTTTGTTTGTTTGTTTGTTTGTTTGTTTGTTTGTTTGTTTGTTTGTTTGTATTTTTTTGTTTTTTTTTTGTTTGTGTTTGTTTGTTTTTTGTTGTTTGTTTGTTGTTTGTTTGTTTGTTTGTTTGTTTGTTTGTTTGTTTGTTTGTTTTGTTTGTTTGTTGTTTGTTTGTTTGTTTGTTTGTTTGTTTGTTTGTTTTTGTTTGTTTGTTTGTTGTTTGTTTGTTTGTTTGTTTGTTTGTTTTGTTTGTTTGTTTGTTTGTTTGTTTGTTTGTTTGTTTGTTTGTTTGTTTGTTTGTTTGTTTGTTTGTTTGTTTGTTTGTTTGTTTGTTTGTTTGTTTGTTTGTTTGTTTGTTTGTTTGTTGTTTGTTTGTTTGTTTGTTTGTTTGTTTGTTTGTTTGTTTGTTTGTTTGTTTGTTGTTTGTTTGTTTGTTTGTTTGTTTGTTTGTTTGTTTGTTTGTTTGTTTGTTTGTTTGTTTGTTGTTGTTTGTTTGTTGTTTGTTTGTTGTTTGTTTGTTTGTTTGTTTGTTTGTTTGTTTGTTTGTTTGTTTGTTTGTTTGTTTGTTTGTTTGTTTGTTGTTGTTGTTGTTTTGTTTGTTTGTTTTGTTTGTTTGTTTGTTTGTTGTTTGTTTGTTTGTTTGTTTGTTTGTTGTTTGTTTGTTTGTTTGTTTGTTTGTTTGTTTGTTTGTGTTTGTTTGTTTGTTTGTTTGTTTTTGTTTGTTGTTTGTGCACTCACTGGCATTCTTGATTCCTGATATGCTTACTTTTGCATTCTTGTACCTGGTATCGGTAGATTGGTGGTAAGCAGAGCTTGCTATGATCCAATACCTGACTAGCCTGGCAATCCTGGTCTCTTACCATGCATGTTGCATATCTCCATGCTTTATCGATGCTTTGCACATAAGATTGCTATCTCGCAGTTACAGATAAGTCATCCCATGCATTGTCGCGGTGGAGTTCCTACCCGAAGTGAACGACAGTCAATTATTTGTGGGCTTGTAATACAGGGATCCCAGATCCACAAGTTGATCACGCGACTACCATGTGTCGGTGAGAGCAAGTCGAGGAAGGGAGTGGCTCTTTCACAGTATTCCGGTGTCTAAATCTTTCCCTGCATGACGAACAGGTTTGCTTCTGAGTGTTTGGATGCAATGAATCAGCTCAAGGTTCAACTTTCGGAGACTTTAGGTGCAGGCACTGGTGAGTCTGCGCAATCCTTCACTGCCTTGTATCGCCATCTATTTGGCCCCTCTCCCAGGCTCTTGTCAGTGGAGCTTCAATTCCGTGTTGGGATGCACAGCGGTCCCTGCACTGCAGGGGTGCTGAGAGGAGAGAAAGGTCGCTTCCTCCAAGTACGTGAAACAGAGCACAGTTACAGACGTTGTTGCTCGCCAGCCACCACCTCCTCACACCTGGACCTCTGTGGAAACGTCATGGTGGCAAAATACTTAGGAGACGATACACCGAGGAATAGGAGACGATCGAAATGATTTAAGAGACGAAAGCAATCGTCTCCTATATTTAGGAGACGATTCAGTAGGAGACATTCCAATTAGGAGACGATCGTTTCGAAATAGGAGACGATCCGAAAGATTTAGGAGATGATACCATACAGTTTACATGGTACACTTAGGAGACGATCCGTTGAGAATAGGAGACGATCCGTTGAAAATAGGAGACGTTTTAAGAGGAGACAAAAGATTTAGGAGACGATCCGTTTCGTCTCCTATTTTTAGGAGACGAAATCCATTAAATAGGAGACAATCAAAAGGATTTAGGAGACGAAAAGTAGCACGACTCGAGTTTCCACAGAGGTCCTGTTCTTGCAATTTTCAATAGATGTTTGGTGACACAGTCAACACGGCCGCGTAAGTGAGCCCCATTCCACGCTCTTTTGAGAAACATACATGTGATGGACAACGTCTCATGAATCTTGTTTTTCTTCTTGTCTGCCCCTTGCTTAGTCGAATGGAAAGCAACGGTGTTCCAAGCCGCATACATGTCTCTCAGGCAACAGCAGATGAGTTGATTGCAAGAGGCAAGGTTTCTTGGTTGACACCCCGAGAAGATAAAATTGTGGCGAAAGGCAAGGATGAAATGCAAACTTATTTTGTGACTGTCAAGCTCAAAGGTGCCTCTACAGTAATATCAACACAAACAAACACAACTGGCGATCGTACGGAGGAGATTTTGACAACGATGGAGGTTTGATTGAATGCCATTCAAGCATAAAGGTTAAAAGTGCTGATGGACTTCACTAGACTAATGTGTGTGAGACGAACGTCCCATCTGTAGTTTTTGCTAGATATCTTTTTGTAAAAATGGTGTTTTTATAATAATTAAATTGAAGAACTTCAGATCCCCGAATTGGCCACGAACCACTTTTTGCACCCTCGCTTTAGAGTTTTTTAGGTAGAAATGCTTTTTCCCTCCCGAAGTACGTACAGTACCAGCAGTATTCTAGAACCTATGGGGACGTCGGTTTGTAAACTCCGTTTACTGTTTTAAGTTTTTTGCATTTTCACTCGATGTGTTCCTACTAGTTCGTCCGTAATAATACCTTAGTTTTCTACTGCTACCAAATTTTAGCTTTGCTTTGCAAGACTTTCATGAAACCAGAACATGAAACACTAAACAATAAGCAGTAAATCTATTGCCATCTTGGAAACATCCAAATTTCGGGTTTCCTTCGGTTTCGACTTTGACCCTTATTGCGGACGATACATTACGAGTACTATTTTAAATAGTTCGGTACTGTATTGCGGACACTGTATGAGTCATTTCTTAATCGCGCTGGCGCTTGCAGTTTCCGACCGACATCACATTCGCGTCGCGTTTTTCAGAAAAAAGATTTTCCTCGACCACAAACCATGGCGAACCCTGTCTTGAAGATCATTATTGTATTGTTTTGTCTATTCTGCCCCAACAATAGCATGACCATTACAAAGGCAGCGGCTGGTGGGCTGACCAGTCGTTTGGCAACTTACTCGGCCTCTAGAGGCTTTTCTCTCCACGAAAGCATAGTGGATACCATCGGCAAGACTCCCATTATCAAACTGCAGCGATTGTCACCAAAGCCCGACGTTAATGGTAAGCGTAATGTGCAAGGCATACAGTTCATTCTCAGTGAAGATACTCACACTCTCCTTCCGTATGGTACCTTGATTACAGTCTACGTCAAATTGGAGTCCGAGAATCCTGGAGGATCCATCAAAGATCGCTTGGCCTATGGGATCATTGAATGGGCCGAGAAACATGGACACCTCCAGCCCGGCCAGACGGTGATTGAAGCTAGCAGCGGCAACACTGGAATCGGCTTGGCGGTCGTTTGTGCCTCCAAGGGTTATCCCTTGGTGGTCGTCATGTCGGAATCATTCAGCGTGGAGCGTCGCAAATTGATGCGATTCTTTGGCGCCAAGGTCGTGCTGACTAATCCAGCGCACAAAGCCAGCGGTATGATCATCAAGACCAAAGAGTTGGCCGACAAACATGGATACTTTTGGCCCGATCAGTTTTCCCAGTAAGGCTTTTGCAGGTTTCTTTTCGGAATGTATTGGGGTTGGGCAAGCTCGTGACTAACACTTGATTGTGATTCTGCTTCTGGGTTCGTTTTGCTTGAACAGCGAGGCCAACCAATGGATCCACCAGCAAACCACCGGACCGGAAATTGTGGCTGCCTTTGCCGAAAAGAAATTGGATCACTTTGTATGTGCCTACGGGACGGGTGGCACAGTCGTCGGAACCTCTCGATACCTGAAAGAACACATGCCTGCTACAAAGATTCATGTGTGCGAACCCAGCAATGCTCCCATGTTGTACTCGGGAATCAAGAGTACCTATGACGGTGACAGTAGGATTCCCGAAAAAGCTCATCCTGTCTGGAGGCCACACTTGTTTCAGGGCTGGGCGACAGATTTTGTGCCCAGGCTCATGACGGATTTGTTGACGGAGTTTCCTGACATGGACATCATGCCAACGAGTGGATTTGATGCCATTGACTGTAGCCGTGAAATGGCCAAAAAAGAGGGGATCTTTTCGGGGACCAGTGGTAAGCTGACAGGAATCACTTTGTTTGGTTGGTAGTACGGAGGTATTCAGCCACTGATTATGCTTGTTCTCTACTTCGACCAAAGGTGGTGGCGTGGTCAGTGCGGCTCTCAAACTTGCCAAGGATTGCCCCTCTGGTACCAACATTTTGGCAATAGTTCCTGATACTTGCGACAATACCATTGTGTACTGATTAATCTAACGATCTAAGAGATGTAAAGTTTGTATTTCCAAATAAGTG